CTGTTTTCGAAGCACCGAGATTTCAAAGGTTTCACTGAACCCGGTGATCTTCACTTCTAGAAGCAGTACGTGCTGTCAGTAAACACGACCCTGAACTGAACTCGTGATTCCACCGTCCGGGCGCGCGCCGTTGTTTGCGCGCATCTACGCGCCGAATCCGCGCGCCGAATCTGCGCGTCATTGAGAGGGCTGGCATCTGGATCTTGAATGGTGTGAAATGGATTCGATGATAATTTAGACCCGACAACTTCGACCAAACAATGACAACTTAGACCTGACGTGGAGCCTTGGTTGCGGTCCGACCTCCGCCTCGGTGCGGCCCGGCTTGGCACACATGCCGAGCCGGTGCCACGGTGCCTGAGCCTCCAACTCACTCTGGGATTGCTGGGCTTCTTGCACTACCTGGTCAAAGACAAAGAGCCGAGGAGGCTGGAGGCAGTGCACGGAGCACTGTACAGTATACAACCCCGCAAAAGGTCCAAGGTCTTGAGAACTGGCACTAGTTGTGCAATGTTGTACAAACGACCGCCATTATCCTCAATGTGTCCAAGGCATTCCAAGGCCAAGTTTCAGTGGACCTTCAGCATCTCTCTGATTAGTACGTGCGACGATGGCAATGATTGTAAGTACATCTGGGGGCCAGCCATATAATTTGGAAGGTCCAATAGATGACACAGCCCTACCTTGAGCAAAATCGTCTATATAATATATAGACCCCAAAAGATAGAACATTAAAAGTATAGATCCCCACCAAAAATGTCTTTCAACCTGTTTCTATCTATTTGGCAATTTGGGGATCACTATTAAAACGGTTGGATTCTGGTGGATGGCAGCCGAACAGTTCACGTTGCTCCAGCAAAGGTCCCTCCATCTCTGCTCGCGCCTGGGTTTCTCTTCGCACATGAGCGATCTTTCGACGATCCTCAGGCTTTCGCGGTCCGTCTCTCCATCCACGGGTGAGCTGACCCGGAGCCGCCAGCGGACATGTGGTTCCAGCGGACCGCAAAAGTCTTAAGGTGGAACCAACGACCTCAGAAAGAAGTGGAGGCTCCAACCTCCAACTTCACTCTACCACCCCTCAAAAAACCATCAGTATGAGGAGCATCTGTCTGGGATCGAAAGGATGACTTCCAGAAACCAGTCATGGTTGACCAGCATTACCAAGATTCAGTGCTCACCACCAACCTCGGATGTTCTCCTCAACCAGCCACCAGGCTTCCTCAAACCATCAATATAACCCGGAGCCCGGGTGGACGGTATGGCTGCACCTCCTCAGTTCTCAAGCCTTAGTACCAGGCTTCTTGGAGTCCCGTGCACCTTTGGAGTCCAAGTGACCGAACTTCAGGGCCTTTTCGTGACCCAACCAGGGGATAGTAGGTCAGTCTTGGGAGGATTCCAGAAGCTCACCCTTCTCAGAGGCGGAATCATTCACCCGAGCCGCGAGGTGGGCCTCGGCGCCTCATCCGTCATGGCGTGTCTTTGTTTGGCGTCTCAAAACGCGAAAACAGTTCGGAAAACATATAATATCTGCCTATTAGCTCAGATAAGTTCAGACCAAAGTTCGAAAAGTGTTAGAGATATTCAGAATGTGCTTTTTTGTTTTCAGGCGAAAAAGTGACGGACGCGGAGGTCCCATCCTGCGGACTCGCAAAGCGCTCTCCGGGTCCCCCGGACCAGCTCGAGGAGGCTGGCGGAAGCCACAGCCTGTGGTTCCTGAGATCGTCTCCAAGCTGAAACCCAGATTGAGTAGCATAGGAAGATGAACATTGTAAGGGTCATGAGCAAATTGGAGTGTCGCCTGCAGGTTTGTGAAGCTATTCAAAATTCCATACTCCAAGAATGAATACATTCTTTTCGTATCAGTGTGGGCTGCTTGCTTCAGTCTTGAAGATGGCAGGCTGCAAGTATATAGATGTTTTATCTTGCAGCCGTGAGCAAGACGTCAACGACGGAAAACGACAGTCTGTCAAACACATCGTAGGGAAGTGGAATATGAAAAGCTCTTTGTAGAGGCACGTGCAGCAAAAGCACTCTTGCCGGGAGTCATGTTCCACTTTCATGTTTGGCCACTCAGCGTGGCCAAAATTAGGTCCGTTCCAGCCACCCTGAGACTCTGACTGCAATTTCAGCCACAGATCGTGGCAGCAGTAGTAGTAAAGCCTCAGCAGCGCAAGTGGCGGTTGGAGGCTTTCATGAAGAAAAGCAACATGTCAAATTTGGATTCACTCCGTCACTCCCAGTGGTTTCAGATTGTTAATGCAATGGTGCCATGCTGCAACCCCTCTCATTCTGTTCAGATCCAAACAACTTCCACTCTCTTGAGGCCTTGCGTCAGCTACTCTGAAAGAGCAACCGTTCCAATTGAGAGTGGACTGCGAAATATAAAGCAAAATGAGGCAGCTGGGCGGGTTCCATTACATGCATACATAAGGTATTTCGACCGAGCCTAATTTCATGATTGAACTTCTTTCCTGCATATTTAGGGTCCACAACCATTCGTGCTCCACTTCGCACGACTTCTTTCGGTTACTCTACAGGAGCTGGCCACTAAAACAATCTCACGTGCTGCCGCCTCCTAGATATAAAAGTGAGTCACAATCAGAAAGGAAGAAACCCAGTTCGAAGCCCAGTCACGGCTAGGGGCATCCTTTAAAAACACCGGCGCAACAGCAGCCAAACTCACCCCAAACAAACACACGCTAGCGCACACTGGTCGTCCAACACTCCGAGCTCTCGGGCGAACGTGGGGAATGTCACCATGCCAACGACACCTTAAAGATGAAGGGAACCGACAGTCGCCGACAGCTGCCGACAGACCTATACATATATCAGCTCTGACACAAGTTCGTCGTTCTGTGAGGAACAGCGAGGACCATCAGGGTATGCACTACGGTCACTACGGTGGTGGTACCACGCAAACGTTTGAACTTAGGATTTGAGTTGCCTTTTTGCAGCCTAATTCCAATGTTGTCAACAGGAACTTTGTCAGTATTGATATCTAGTTAACTATGCGCATAATAAGTACCGTTATCATCCTCTATCACAGTCACATGTTATCTATGTTGGGATCATATATGACAAAGATCACCATCAGCTGAACCTCTTCCAAGATCACCACCTGAACATGCTCCCCGGTTCTTCGGTTGTTGTGTCTTGATATGGCGTGGTGTCTCTCAAGCCTTAGCGAGGAAACTGTAAATCACTTTCTTTTAATTAGCCCAGCAGGGTAGGAAAAAGAAAAGGTAAAGCTAATTTGTAGCTATTCGGTGCTGAAGGCTAACACCTAGGATGCAGGATAGCTCACGCTTCGAGGAAGCTTCCCCTGCCTGAGGGCGAGCAAAGAGCTTGAAGAAGCGCTCGCACTATTCATTTGTTTCCAAGATTCTTAGGGAAACATACGGAAACTTAACATGATGAAACTCTCGGTGATCTCGATGGATTTGACCGCAAAACTCTAGCAGTGACGACTCATGCATCATTGAATTGAATCATAACACCGTCTTTGGGTGGATCTCTGAAACTATCCAACCCCCAGCAACCCAAGCTGCCTTAGGACTGCACAATGTTTGAGACGTTGCTTTCAGATTCGGAGGATGCGGGTTTGCGTGGGAGCAGCTGACTCTCGGAAGCTGTTCAAGGAGGGAATGACTGGATTTCAGATTCCGCCTTCGGAAGGTTCCACTTCTCACTTCTGAGGAGCAGTCTGACCTAGTAACAAGTGCCTCGCTAGTAGTAACAAGTGCCTTGCTAGTAGTAACAAAGAAGCTATTAGAATTAAAATAATAGCTTCTTGTTACTACCAGTAAGGCACTTGTTACTACTAGCGAGGCACTTGTAATTACTAGCAAAGGAATCTACTATGTCCTTTGTAGTTAGTTTCCCTAAGAAGTCGATTCTCCCATGGACAACCCATGGAAACACCGCTCACATCGATATTCATCGTCCAATGCTCAGGTTTACCTGAGATTGTCCTGCCAGCTCCACTCGACCATTTCCGCCCAAATAATTCGCCACGCCAGGTCCCGCGCCACAAAAGGGGTACGTTGGGGACCGAGTTCGGCATGGGTCAACATGCTGTTCGGGCCAGAGCGGCAATCCACGGTGGAGAAGGGCATGAGACGATGGGTACATGACATGACAAACTCATCCCAAACACTCCATGTATGGCATATTTATACATTGACCCCTAAAACCACCCCAATGTAGGTATATAAATATGCCATACATACATGGAGTGTTTGGGCATTATATGAGTATGCATCAAAATGGGAGAGACCTCCCAGGCAACGACCCCCTGCAAGAAAGGAAATAGACCAGTGTGGACCAGTCTACCCATTGGGCCAGGGGTCTCCCAATCCAAACACACACCCATACTAGTTCCACCGCGCTAAACTAGAAAAAGGACAACATATGGACAACATGTTCACTTGCCTAGTGACCTGGTGAACGTTTCTCGAAGCACCGAGATTCACTTGATCGGGGATGGTTGCTACATGCTGCTACTATATGTATTGACCACGGACGGAGTGACTTGGGCAGTTTCTCAAACTGGCAAGGTCCTCTTACGTCAACAGGGCGATCTGAAGGCTTGAAACATGTAGCTTCTTGCTCCTAGTAGCGATGCCAGGAGCTGCTAGTAGCTTATTGTTTCTAGTAGCGATGCCCTTTGTTACTACAGTAATTAGTAATTAGTATAGCGATGCCAGGAGCTAAGCTTCGTTTCTTTCAAGCTTTCTTTTGGGGTAAAGCTCAAATGTTCTTCTGCCAATGCTTTTTGAACTGGTCCGTTCAAATCTGCAGCGTCTGGCGAAACCATGCAGCGAGTATAGCGGCAAAGCGGTTCAACAGAAAAGTCACAAAACATTAAGTTATTAATCTTCTGTTTCATCCACCTTTTCAACAGATGCATGGCTTAGGCTATTAATCTCCTGTTTCATCCACCTTTTCACCAAATGCATGGCTAGACCAAACAGCTGCCTGAAGCGCAACAAAAACGACTGCTTCATCCTTTGTTTGTCTGAAGGGTCACCGAGATCATTTGTGCACCTTGCCTTTCTGCGTGATGGGTTTCCACCCCCCCAAACCAGGTGCACTGCCGGGTGTGTGAGGTCGCCACTCTTTTCACCAAAGCCGGGGGCTGGTCAAAGCACATCAAAAGTGAAGATGTCCTTCATCAAACAACTCCATAGAGTTCCTGGCGCACGATGCAGAGAGCAGCACGGCATCGAGGTGCAAAAATCGAAGATACGGAGATGGGATCCGCTTCCGTCTTAAGACTACGCGAGGAGATTGCACGCTTCCGCTTGGTTTTCGGCTTGGCTACGCTTGTGAAAACCTGTCATTGGAGAGAGCCTGTTTTCAAAATGCAACAATTGTGCGGTAAAACAAGTCAACTTAGTAGTCAGTCCCAAAAGTCAAAGTCAAAAAAACTCAAATCAACAGTTTCAGAAAGTCAAAACAATAATCAATTGGCACAGATCTGATTGTTTTATCTTGCGTTTGTTTTCTAAAGTTGACTCGTGTTGATTTGTGTGACATTTTTTTGAGTTTTAGCTGACGTTCCTTTTTTGTTCGTGTTGTTTTGAATTTGGACTTTTTGACTTATATTAATATATGTTTGATTTGTTGAGTTGTTTTATAATTTTGATGCTTGTTTTACTGTACTTTGTTCAAATTTGTTTTCCTTTATCTGACTTGATTTTGACTTTTTTGAGTTGTGATCTATGATTGACTTTTGTCGACGTGTGCTTGATTTGTTTTTCCATTTGACTTCTTTTTGACTTTGACTATTCCATTTTGTTTGACATGTTTTCGACTTTTTCAAATCACGGATACTGGCCTTACCATATGAAATATTTGTATAAAGCTAAATTTTGTCATCAACCTGCCAAACATATTGTATATATTATACAATATTGTAATATACATTCCTAATAGCTCATGAATCAATGTGAAACGTCAAAAAATTGCACTCTTTTCCTAGGCATTCAGCCACCGTGACACTCACAATGTTCAAGCACGTCACCGAGATCAAACTGAACACTTCTGGTGTTTCATCATTCTGGAGTTCTGCACAATCATAGGATGTGTTGCAGTGGATGCACTATAGATTATCTCTTTGAGGTAATGTTGGCGTTTTGGCATCAAGTCATACCCTACAAAGTCTCCAAAAGCGCATCAAAGAAGCAGCCTCAACATCCACGTGTCGACGAGGATAGACTCAAATCCATCCACAAAATCTTCAGAGTAACAACCCAGCAAAAACACTTTGGCAAGGAAGCAACTCAGTCAAGACCACCGAAAGTGCTGTCTTCCAAAACTAAGCACCACCAGCTTGCCACTACATGAGGAAAACAACACCACCAACGAGGATCTTCGTCACCGGCTCGGGCTCCTGGTCGACATTTCCTCTCATTTCAGTTTGACACCTCAAAGCCCAAAACCAAGCATTTAACTATAAAGGTTCTTCCAATATGGCTTGCTTGAGATCCGATCCTTTACAGCAAGAGGCTGGTGACTGGGGACAAACAACACCGACTTCTCTTTGATGTCTGCTTCTCTTTGGTTTCCTCATTTTCGCCACTACTCTCCCAAACCCCAAAACCCTGGGACTCCGCCACCGACGACCGACGATGCCGTCGCCGGGACAGTGCGCCTTGCGACGGCGGTTGCACTTGGCGACCTCGGTCGCGCTGATCGATCCGAAGCACGCGGGTGGCGCAGAACACCGGTGGCCAAATCGAGAGGAAGAGAGGTTTGGTCTCTGGGGATGCTTTGTTTCAGTTTGGCGTGTTTTCTTTAAAAGACATATAGTATATATAAATAGTATGTATAATATAAATACTAGTCATGAGGGTGGGGACGATTCAGAAGTGCCCATCGAACTCAAAAAGACATGTCCAAACATCCAAGATCCACCCGCCCGTGACCTGTCGGTAAAATACAACTGGGAGAGTTATATAGTCTATATATATAGCTCAGCTGAAATGGGATAGAAATGGATCTCAGTGGTCATAGAAATGGTAACAAGCACTTCTCCATTCTTGTTTGATGGTGCAACCAGGAAACACCAGCAGCACCAGCGGTCCTTCTCTTTTTCGAAGAAACGCAGAAGAACCCACGCGGGTTTGTGGAGTATGTCTCTTTCGGCAAACGTTCCTAATCGAACTCCAAACGTATGACCAAACGCAAGTGGATGGATCGAAGCTCTGGCAGCTTAAGCTTCGACGCTTCGAACACCGCTCTGGCAGCAGAATCTGCTTCGACCCAGCTGTGACTGTCTGACCCCCGAGACCAGTCTTGAACTTACATGAAGAAATACGAACATAGCAAACCTTCCAACACCGTGATACCAAGAAGTCCCCGGTCTAGTTTTTGGTCTGCATCATCAAAATCAAGTAAACACCATCCGTGGTTTCTCTTCGAAGTCCTGACAATGGCTTTCCAAATACGTGATGTAAACTTAAACTGCATGAAAGGGTCACCAAAACCATACCGAAAAACCATGCCCCATCCAACTCCCTTTACAACCTACAACTTCACACCCAGTGGTGCACTAAGTCATCACTAAGCCACTAGTCATGGTATGATGATCGTCACTATGATCGTCCACCCGTGCCGTCGAAATCCATCGTCACAACAAGATACAAAAAAATCCACCCAGCACGGAGCCCTGTGTTTCCCGCACCATGTGGACTTGAATGGTCTGCTCCGTGAACGTCATATGCGACCAGCTCTTGTCTTGACCTGGCGCAATGCGGAAGAGTCAGTGTTGCGGGTTGTGTGAGTTGCATAAAAGTCTATTCTGAGAGGTGAAGCAAAGTGAAGCTGCATAACAGGCTTGGAACACTCCCAGCCAAACGCCCAACCAAAACACCAAAACAACGATACAGCTGACTGACCACTCATTTTTGGGGTCCACTCGCTGGTCCTTTCGATTCCAGCTATTGAATGTAAATTGAGAGGCAAAAGCTCAGCTCATCCCTATAGTGGTCCCCAAATAGATAGATGGTACGGTTTCCAAATAGATAGGGGATCACTTTTCTATCTATGACACGGGATCTTAATCTATATCCCTGTAGGTTCTTGAGGTCACTGTCCGAAGCAACTTTCAGGACCACAGCTCTAGCCACGTCGCTGCACCACCCGGGTCGATGTGATCAGGCAGACTGGACTGGGAGAAGTTCAAAACCCGAAGAAACTCGGGACGTGTTCAGCAGCTGTACCCTCAAACTTCTGACGTATTTGAGGCTGAACATCCTTTCAACATGCCAATGTATGCACTGCAACCCCATGCTGCCCATCTTTCTCTCCAACCTGCTCCTACTACCGCCACTCCTTCCTGGCAGGTGTCATTTCGGCTCCGCCCGGTTCGCTCCGCCCCGGTTCCGACCATTTCGGGCTCCCCACGAGAGCAGCCGGCGCCCATGACGCAGGGGTCGCAATAGGTGATGTAGGTATAGAGTCGACTTCCATCGGCTGCGCGGTCGAGCGGAGAGATGAGCGCGCAGCCGCGGCACATGCGGCACATGCGACCGAAGTGGAAGTGGGAGATGACTGATGAACTGTGCTCTTAGAAGAAGATCTGGTGGGTGAAATTGGTTGTAGTTCCTTGACCAAAGGAAGGAAGTCTGGGCATGAAGCAAACCAAGAGCTGGTTACAAGGTCCTGTTTTTGTCACCCAGTACAAGGGATCGTATTATAGCCTAGAAACACCAGGAAGTTTCTCATGCCATATATATATACATCCATGATCATCCATGTGAACCAATGAAGCTACTCCCTGGGGCTCTTAACTACCTCAACACCTTGCAAACCATTCGGCTAGGCAGGTGGAGCGGTTAATTCACCTTTAAGAAATGCTCATCACAAGGACCGACTGCCACGAAAGGACCCTCATCACCAGGATGTTTGATGAATTTCACATATTTTCACTCGTCTAAGTGAAGTGGCCGGATATCGCCGTCAACCTATCAACTCATTCCAACGTTTTGTCAGGTTTTTGAGTGACCATCTTCACCTGGAGACCTCGGGAACAACTGCACATGGCATATGGTTTTGCAAATCAAGCAGTTTCTGTCTGATACCACCTCTGATCATGGCATCGATCGGTTCTCTAGGTTATAGCTCCACAGGCCGTCCATGAGAGTACAAGATAGTACAAGTGTCTATGCCACTGGTGCTGCCCAACTTGCCCAACTTGGGAAGGAAGCTTTGGGTGCCCGCCGCTACCCCCTCCACGTCGACCGGGTCGAGCGGCGTGTCCACAGCATCGGGCCATTGTCGGGATCCATTTGCACCACTTCGTCCTCATGACGAGCGTTTTCTTCCGATTCTCCACCAAGACTGATGACTGGGTCTGGTCGAACGAGCCGAAATGAGACAAACGGCGCCCCAGCTTGGAACTCGTGGGATTATGATCAAATACGTGGGGTTCTTTCGTTTATATTGTGTCTGATTGTACCGTATCGTCCGTGTTCTGCCTTTCATTTGTCACCTCGCACCGGTCACCTGCCGGTACTCGAGTTTTGCGCAGGAAGGTCTACACATGCGTGGTGCGAAATCGGCACGAGTAACGTGCCGTTTTTCGACCAAAAGAAGCAAGTCATTAAGGCCATAGCCGCTATGTGAATAGAGTAATGATAGTCGAGTATCGTTTTGTATGTTCAAATCAGGGTGTCTCCTGTCGCCTTTCTAAAGGCAACGAAATCAGATGCGAATGGTCTTGAAGGATCCCCAAATAATTCCGTCCCCTGCGCACCCTTACACGCAGGTGCTTTCAGCAGCTTCTGCGACTGCAAACGGGTGTACAAAAAAAACCTCCTTCAGATTCAGGGGGTAGGTCAGGGCAGTCCATTTTGGAAGCTCTGGGTACATACATAATTACATAATGTTAATTTGAATTTCCTGTATAGAATCAAGAGCAATCAGAACATGCATGTAGTATCATGTAGTGTCGAATCAATATCACAAAATCAAACAAACAAAGCTTCTTTAAAATCAAGATGCCTGAGGATAATAGCCACAACAACACGATAGTTGCATCAATGGGACGAGAAGCCCCATGATTCTAGAGTAACAAGGCACAGGAATTCCTTAGAGGCAAGACAAAATTATAGTCGATCTAAGCATACCTCAACAAATTGCGACAAGTGCAAAACAATATGAACAACCAAAACACAAACTCTTTCTAGAATCAAGTGCACAACCTCTGCAAGCCTAAGACCTCCAAAATCATAGGACCTGCACATTTTAAACCAGGAGCTATGTGTTTTTAAACATCAGTTGCCGCATTCTTCAACTGTTCCTACACACCCTCTTGCCCGTTTAAAACTGCAGTGCCTTTTTGTCTAAAAAAATAAGGTGTTTAGAGCGTAAGATACCCAATTTAAGAAGACAGTCAGTCAGCTTGTTTGCAGAAGGATACCAAAAAAACAATTGTCACCAAACGTCGACTCTGAAAAGCGCCCAGAGTCAGAGTCGAGTCCAGCCACAAGACGGACCAAAGAGCAACAAACGTTGAGTCTTTATCAATGCGTCTTTTGTGGGGTCTACATGGGTCTACAGCAAATCATGGGTCTACATGCCTTGTGAAAGACTCATGGGATGGAGCCGACGAAACCCAAAGACTTGGCCTTCTTTCGCTTGAAAGCGACGTGGTCATGTCCACAAGATCTATGGATTTACACCTATGGCACAGGGTTCAATGTTTGGAGATTGTTGGGGTTGCCTGCTGTCACATACTACATCACCTTCAGTTCTGAAAACATGAAAAGCATTCCCTACGAGTCCCAAGACCCAGTAAAACCTGGTGAAACCTACCTCCTTCAGTTGTGTGTTTGTATGAGTAAAATGAGATCATTGACTTGTAGGGATTGGATCACTAACGTATCTGTTCAACCACACAAAGGACAAAGGATGTGATTTCCCTGGTCACTGGAGGTCACTGGACCAAACACCAAACCGGCTCGAATCATGATCAACATGATCTTCGTTCTCGAAACAACCAAAAGGTATTAGTAACAGGGTGTAATAGCATTTGCCGCAGCCCGGTATTTCTCAACAAGTTCTGAAAAAACAAAAGAAGCTGTCATACATATCTCAGAGGGATCTGGATAAAGGGCATGACTTCCTTTGCGCGAAGCCGCAAAGCCTTTTGGCAGTTCGTCTTTTGTCGCATGTAGACATCCAGTCTACTAGTACCAAAGGCCATCGCTACTACTGTAGTAGCAAGGACGCTACTTGGCTGGAGGCCATCGCTCTTAGGTTGGAGGCCATCGCTACACCATCCACCTTCCCCATCTCCGCACCTCTCTGTTCGATGGGAACAGGTCCTTTCCATAACCCCGCAAACGGCCGTCGGACCGCCATCGGGTCCTTTCCATCAATCTTCACAGTGACCGTGGACTTGCCAACATACTCTTTCCTGCACAGGGTTTGCCACTTTAAGGATCTGAAGTTAACTTCATGTTTTCACAGACCGGAAAACATCGTGCGCAAGCTACACCGTGCGCAAGCTACGCTCACGCCTACGCTCACGCTCCGTCCATCGAACGGGCGGTCGGGCGGTTAAGAGATGGGCGCGCTCACCAGATCGATCCTAAGAGGTTTTGGTACCGAGCTCACGGTTGGTGTGTTTTTATTCGTTTAAATGTTTTTTTGCTAGTTATGGTTTTTTGGGTTTGGCCACGGTCACACCGATACATTGTATAGCCAATAACTAAAAAGGAATCCCTGAGCTTCACCACACAGTTGCTGTCACCATACGCTCTTCACCGACTCCCCCCAACCCACCCGACCCGACCCATCTGGTCTCGTTCTGCGCTCCGAGCGTCGGGGCATCGAACTCGGGGATCATCTCTTTTCCGGGCCGTTGAGATAAGATCTGCAGGCGCGGAAGGACAGGAACCAGGGCGATCCGTTGTTTTCTTTGTTCACGTCAAGCAGGAGGGAAGAGATGGTCTGGTTTCGGCCACCAGGTGTAAATAACTGAAAAGCATCTGCAGGCACGTTGCCAATGATGAGAAGGGGGTATAAAAATAACATCCGTGGAGCATGTCTCACTGCACCACAGCGGGGACAGCGGGGGTGATTGAGAGACTGGGAGGGATTCCCTTTATGAAGTTCTACTTTCGCTTTGTGGCGAGGTCAATCACCACCTCAAATAGTGCACTTCCAGCTGCCCTCACAAAGCAGTTTCAAAGAGGTTCTGGCTTCTAGCTAGATCGACTCTCCTTCATCCCCAAAGGGAAGAACTCATCCCGCTATCTCTGCGGCGGCCAAATGGGTGTTCTCTCGGCCACTGTGTGAGTTGTGCGAGTTGTACGCCCATCAGCACCAGCTGACACGCCACTGGTTGCCCGGCTGGGTGGGCGGTGAGAAAAATAACAGGTGTCAAACCCGAAAGCCAAACCGTTGGAACCTGCACCTTGGATGGCTATACCACACAAGGCCTGCAGAAACAACACCCCAAACACCATGTCCAAGTTCGCCGGTTCCGCTGTGCTCCTCCTCACACTTCCCTCCCTCCCCCGTTTGGCCTCCCCAAAGCGTGCCGCTGTCATCATCGACATTGCAGGCGAGTGCACGCGAGCGCGCTGAGTGAGAGCGCCAGCAAGACTCAAGGCACTTCTCAGAAGCGGTCAAGGTGGACAAGAAGACTCAGGAATTCACCGACCATGTCCAGAGCAAGAATAATGTGCATGTGACAACAACTATGGCTTTTGCATGGTGTTTGATGGTATAAGATGCGTATCTGTCAAATAGATTGTGACTGTCAAAAACGTGATGTGACCATTCCATTTGGGTGGCATTTGGTCACTGCAATCTGCCAGCCGATGGTCGACAGGGCCGTGGACATCCTGACGGTTGGAAGGTGACGGTTGGTCGATCCGCTGACTCTATTCATGTACTCGGATCCAAGCGCCATTCCGAAGGAGGATCTCAAATTCCAACCTGGACCTTCCAATAGGGATGAGACAAATTACAAGAAACTGTAGTTCATCGGACACCCGGTAGCAACGGATACGTGTCGTTTCGACGTTTTTTGTTAGCCTTTGGGACCCTCCGACGAGATGACCCGCCGGTCACCGGATGAGCACCGGGACCAGTTCCTGAAAGAAGGAAGTTGGTCCATGGGCATTCCCGTCCTGCTTCGCCGGATGTGGTTCAGTGCCCTGAAGGGAGAAGCACCGGATGTATACGAACTGCTCAGATCTTCCTTACACTCGTATGACAGAAAGGACAAATTACTCGGGTGGATCAAAACTGGTGGGTCCAGTCTGACTGGGAGATGGCTAATGAACCTCCTCAAAACAGTTCGTCGATGTTCGTCCTGCTTTTGACTGCCGACTGCTCCGTTGGACACCATAGAATACCTTCACCGAAGCCTTCACCTCTTGATTCGTCCCGTGTCCCGTGTTCCTTTGCCCCTCTTCCCCCCCCACCTTGTCCCCCTGTCCCGCTGTGCGGGAACTTCGGTGGCGCGCACGGACGGAAGTCCTTTCGGGCGAGGATGTTCGCACCTCGTCGTCAGAAGTCAAGAGCATGTTCTCCTGAAAGGGATAGGGTAAGTTTAAGGCAAATAGAAATAGACTTATCAAATCTTATCAACTTATCATTTCCGGTTGGATCAACTGATCAACTTCATAAAATACATCGCATTCTTGGCAAACACATAAACGTGCGTGTGAAACAAGGGCGCCGGCCACCGATTTGAGGGGGTCTAAGCTCCACAGCCACATCCAGTTCCGAGTTGGGTTAGTTGGACTGTTAGACCCAAGAAGTAAGTGGATGAGCAGGGCACCTGGAGGTAAGCAATTGAACATGGAACTGAGCAGGGCGCTGATACTTGCCGACTGACAATGTCTTCAGCTCAAAGAGTTGCAACCCAGGAGGGCACAACCTGTGAGTTCACTTCCGAAATCAGTGGACGCCTGGTTTTGTTCACTTTCCACAACCAAGCATTGATGGCCGGCCACGATAGCAAGAGGCCGGCCACGTGCACAACCATTTACTGTTGGAATCAAGAAACGGTTTCAGAGTAGATGGCGCAACCGAAACCACTGTTAAATTCTACACCGCCAACACTTGTGAACATTGTACATACACTCGTACACTCGTACGGCGGTGTTCCCCATCTCGTGTGGTCGCAGGTGGTGCAGGAACTATTCCATCAAGAGTAGTCGTGAACATATTGGACAATCTAACTTCAACTTGATTTGCTCCAGCTAAAGCATCTGAATAAGGAGCAATTGTACCTTCACCCTCCAGGCGTTGCCAATCCAGGTCCTCAAACGGGCCCAGACCTGCCAACTATATAGAGGGGTAGAGCACAACAACTCCAACTTGCAAGTGACAAGCTGGCAACGAGCATCCACAATGTATGCTCATTTCTTACTTGAATCCCAAACAGCTTGAATCCGAGGGATGCAAGGGTCTGAATCATTTCTTGGGAACATTCTCAATAATGAGGTCAAACCAACCATATCCAAAGACCTCGCCACCTCACCAAAGACTTGATGGACAAACTGCTGCACCACGAGGGAACAACACCTGGTATTCAGATCGGCTTGAATATCCATCAGGTCTGGGCACTCCAGAAACATAGAACTGAAAAGCCTTCACTCCCTGATGCACCGGGCTCCACCACCAAGGCCCTGCAAGGCCCAACCCGTCCTCTTTCAAGTCACGGTGGACATATCTCTTCTGATGCATGAAGTCGACGCCCTCCGACCCGGAACCGGTGCTGGCGAGGGCGACGCCCTTCCGGCCCCATCTGGACAGAAAAGTTATATGAGATTATGACGATAATTATGATATATGCTTGCCTGTCCGGAAGATGATACTGTTAAGACGCTTAAGCTCTAGAGGTTTAGTAGTAAATCCCTTATTAACCAAAGAGGCGATATGATTAAGGGTCTATGTCTAAGAGTCAGAGTATACCAAAAGGAAAGAATAGCATAAAAAATAAAACCTTGATAATCCTGTTCCTCCTCCAGATCAACCAATACATCCAGTGGATCTGGGGCCCCCGAAGGTACCGGATGGATTTCGGAATGCTTTTTATCAATGGTGACCGCTGAAGTGTGGCCCGGTGTGCGAGCCACTGAAATGGTCACCAAACACCAGATCTTGACAGGCTTAGATGGCATTTTGTTAGATCTGGGATACCCCCAATGTCTCCCTCTTTTAATACGCACCCAAGCGAGTGATCACATTCGCTTGTGAGTCTAGCGAGTCTTGCTGGGCCTCACAGGGTGGTGTTAACATGACCAAACTCTGCGGAGTCGTTCCAGCGAAACAGAGTCACTCAGTTCTACCAGTTTCTTATAGGTGGAACCCCCGGCCTGGATTGAAGTTCACGGCTAAACATATAACATATACAGTATGTCGTGTGACAGCAAATCAAAGGTTCCTTGGAGCAGAGGTCATCAACCTTCCCAAAGATCTGGCCGTTCTTTCCCGCACCTGAAGGATCTGCGCAAAGTACCAGGCAGCTCTCGCCTCCGAGGGTGACTTCTGCGAACTCATCCCCGCGCAGTGCCGTGCGAGTGTAAATGGATCCCACCCATCGCACGTCATTAGAAACCTTGAACAGTGGATGCCAAGCGGCCTCTATACCAAGGAACCAGGGCTTGGTTCGGTCTATGGTTTTTGTCTTTGGAATCACCGGTTACCAGCAATCGTGGTAACTGGATCACTGGGTTGTGATTCAAGGAGCAGCAAACAAGGACTATCATGCTGGCATGGCTTGATCGAAAAGATTCAGTTGGATGGACGGGAACCCCAAGGGTGTGATTTCAAAGTAACTTCAGCAGGTGAATTTGCAAGTGATACCCACCGACTCAGAATTGCGAAGTGGAAAATGGTCTTTGGGAAGAGCAGATTCCTCTACAAGTACAAAGAGGGTGCAGTGACTCCAGTGGTTTCCACCTCCATGGAGTCGGAGTGATACTTGATGAAAACAACATGCCTTCAACGACCCCATCCTTTCGTTGACCACTCGGGCGAAGACGTGGGAGCGCCTCAGAGAGACGGTTCTCCGGCTGCTGGGCGCACAAGTCCCTTAAACTCCCACCGGCGCAGTGCTCCAAGAGCATGTAGAGGTACCTCGAGGGCTTGGCCCGCTTGGCTCTGTGGTTTTCTTGCAAAGAGAATATACCAGGACCCGACTTCACAGGTCACGACCTGCAACGTTTATGTCTACAAAAGCCATCAAAAGCCTCCAGACTCCAGAGGGGACCTGTTGGAGGGTGCTGGTATATAACCACGCATATAATATCTGAAACATGTTGATGTCAATCTATAAGTGGTGAACCTCTGTTGCATATCCCAGCCACTGAAGATCCACAAGCAAGATTTGCAAGGCTGCGGCAGAAGAGCTTGGAAAGACGAGTGCCTTGGGACCTGGGGTACTCGCCAGTTGGAGTGGTTTCTTGGGACCCTGGCCTCACCTTTGTTTGGCCATCCGATTCCTGCCAGACTTGAAATCTCCACGTAAAGGGTGGCCAAGTTGGACCCTCTGGCTGCTTTGTCAACTCCCGCGCTGGAGGCTTTGGCTGCTACCCACTTTGGTGGCCTGAAATGGCCTGAGCATGTGATTCACTAAACTTCCTCCATCGATTTCCCTGAGTCCCGCACCCTTTTCACCGCAAAACAAGGGGCGAAGATCCGGGCACGCGCCCGAGCAGCGGAAAAATCAAGGATCGAGACTCAATCCATCGTGTTCAGGTAACTTCTCATGGACGTTCTTGTCCCAAATCCGTCCAACTTGACTGGGGATCTCAAACCCATACACTCCCTAGAATCATCGTAGAAATGCAAGACCGCCTGTGTGTAGAGGAGTTAATCGTCGTCCTGTTGGGGCGATGCCATAACTATAGGACTGATGTGAAGGCTAAATGGAGGGTGTGTGGAGAAAGTGGGTCAGCAAAACTTGTTTATACGAAGTTAGTGCATCAAAATACTTTCCGCAAAGTTCTGCAAAGGTTTCTGGCCATGGGTGTTTGTTGGGTTATATAGTTTTCCTACTGGCCCACCATTTCACAAACATCCAAGAATAGCCATGGGTTGCACGAATGTCTTGGGCCTTCCACAAGATTAGTAGAATAGGTGTTCAGCAGCAGCTACTGAGGGATACAACCGAAGAAGCCAGCCAAAACGCATGGGTTGTCTGATTTATGTTGCCCTGCAAGCCTGGTACATGTCATTGAATACATGTCATTATTCCCTCTCTCTCTCTGCCATAATCCAATCAGAATGACAAAGCATCCGCAACTGGGAACTGGGATTGCTGTAAGCTTCGTGCTAGGTATATATGTTTAATGTATCAACATGCCTCCCAGCAGCTATGTCTCCTCGCAAATCCCAAATGAGAACCCTTGAGGAGAAGGCAGTTGTCCATACAACTTGCTGTGTATCGTTAAAAAATGCAAATGCCTCTGCATCAGCAAGACAAACTTGGGTCAAAGCCAAACCCTCAAAACCGTGCTCGGTTGACTGTGTCTGATAGCTCATTGCGTTCATGTCAGCGCAGGGGAGTTAGACCATGGCCCCTCTTGCACCATTGTATATAAGACAAGTGTTGTTGTGGAAGAAAAGAAAGACAAAACACGGATACCAGGACCATCCAGTGGGTGTCCTGGCTGGACTACCCAGCCCACTACCTGTCTGGATCTACCCAGCCAGGCCCAGCCAGGGTGGTCCAGGTATTCCGTTCTGAGTCTCGAGCCTCTGGTCAACCGACCCGTCTCGGCCGCTGCTCCAGGGACGCTGAGAAGCGATCCGGAGCCCGGTCCAACCAAACGGTCCGGACGCAGGTGAACTCCCAGCACAGATGAGTCGGGTGACTCCAACTGGCTGAACTCCCACATCTTTGCTGATCATCAGGATGACCAATAAAATCGAACAAACATCATAGAGCTTTTTCTCGCAGGTGTAGACGTAGAGGCACAGGTGCGGCCATTGTTTTGTGCATTCCAGAACGCTTGTAACGTGTCACTGTGTCACCCGAGCGAGAATCATGCCCGCTACTGCGCCCGCAACCGCGATGGATGCAGTGCGTCAGGAGAGACGGAGCCTCAAGCGCTGACGGGGTCTGCTGAGTCAATTTCTAATCACAAATCCCGCGTCTGAAGGCCCAGCTTCGCACTTGCATTCAAAGGTTTCTCTTGGGAGCAAGTGCTGCACTGAACTGCAGTAAAGGTTGTGAGCCAGTTGTTGTTTCTTGCTTATTATTGGCAATAGAACAGCCAATGATAACCAACGCATGAATCTTCAAAAGGACCTGCGGTTTTCTAAGATGTCCCAGTCAAAACAACATCGAGACCTCACGCTTTGCACTGACTTGAAGTAGACCTCGCGTCCATCTAGTTTAGGTCAACATATATTATACCCTATACTTCCTAGATCTCACACATGAACACCCTTCTCCAAACAGCGCATCCGTCGCGTCGGCACCTCCGCTGGGCGCCACGGCAGACCGACCTCCTGTGGCATGGAACCATCGAAGGGATCGGTCTCGTCAGCGGCCGCCCAAGTGGGCACCGGCATGGCCTGAAGCAGCGACGGCGTCTGTCTGCGGCGTCTCTATTGTATAAAGGAAATGGTTTTCTTGGTGATTACTAGTTACTAGTAGCGATGCACTTGTTACTAGTAGCTTCTTGTTCCTAGTAGTAATGCCAGGAGCTACTAGTAGCTTCTTGTTATATATGCTCCTTTGGACTTGACAATACCTTTCAAACTTGCACTCATGTAAGTTGAGCTCAGGGACTTTGAGAGGACCTTCAGCAGTGTCGAGAGCTAAAGCCCGCTGCACTTGTCGTTGCAGGTACATCAAAGTAGTGATGGTACACATATATCATATATGGTGATGACAACATTGCGCAATGTGGAACCATCATTAAACGGTTTAGTTGAGCAAGCACCACAAAGAACGAACGCATGTGGGAACATAACACAGGACACACATAGATGTTGTGTTTTTTGTTCAATGGATGTGTCATGTCAATCAAGTCCTTTTCTCATCTTTTGCTTTGATTCTCGACTGTTCTCAATCTTAAAACCCAAGATCTTGGACTTTAAACTGCTTGTCTTGATCGTATCCTGTTCTTTAAACTCTTTGATCTATATACAGTTTTCTGTTGCCACAGATCTAGGACTTGCCGATTCAACCATCCAGCATCTTGTTTGCAAGATATCAGCCTCTTATCAGCGCCCCTCGACGGCTCCATCACCACATCTATTTGGAAACGCCCTTTTGGGGTCATGTAAAAAACATTTTTTCAAGAAGGTCCTGGATTCCGAGGGCATTGTTGTGAGGACACCATAACTTGAAGACCAAACGCGCAAGGGAGGAACACTGAACACCCACCAACAAAGACAAACAAAATCCAGGTCAAAGCAGAATTGGCCAGAAATGTTCACCCCAAGGCTGAATTGTTCTCAAGCATTCGTCAAATAAAGACTAGAAATGGCCAATGTTCACCCTCTCCCGGCAGGTTCCAACCCAGCCTTTCCGTCTGTTTGGCCATCCAAGCAAACCCTTGCCTGGAAGTAGGGCGGCTTTGCACCCGCCAGGCTCAAACCTGAGGGATTTCCAGTCCCTGGATGGTTGTAGCTGCAGCATGCCGCAGCTGGGTCTCCAGGAAACGGTTTCAGCTGAGTTGTTCCAAGCTGGTGATGAATCTGACATTGCACTCCGGGAAAGACTAAGAACAAACCCACCCCTGCCGGCAAAAACAAACGGGTGACTACGTGTGCTAGTTGGGAGTACATGTTTGTTGGTAGATGGCGCCTTCTTACAACCCTTTTGTTAAGATAGGGTCCTTGAAAGTGTATCCCACTTAGAGAAAAAGTTTCAAGTCACAAAAACAGGGAAAACAAATTCAGAAGCCTCCCCCATCCTTGCCACACGCACTCGAAAACAAGCCGCCCAACAGTGCTTGACACTCTTGTGGGACACTTTTGTAGGACACTCTTGTTGGATGCTCTTGCAGAACACTCTTGTAACGTGGGGCACTCTGTTGTCTCTTGCGGCACAGTCTTGTGCGACACTCTCGTGGGACACTTTTGTAGGACACAAAGTGAAGCAGGAAGCCTCATCAGAGCGATCACATCAAGCAGCTCTGCCAAGCAGTTTTGCAATCCCGGCCCCTCAAAAACCACAGCCGCCGACATGCCAATCCCAATGTCACAGCGACATTCTCCTCCACCAAACGTCACAACTTCCCAATTCCCTGCGCATGCCACAAAAAGTTAACTTCGACACCTTCAACATGCATAAAGCACTGCGCCTGCCACGAAATGTTTACTAAATACATCGCATTTCATTCAGCACAATTTGCAACACACCACCTGTTTGGAATTGGGCACTCCTAAAGTTAAGCTGGAACCCTTTGCTACGCATTTGGAAATAACAAATACAAAAGAACCACACATCAAGGTATGAACCTCTTTTCTGATGTATGTGTCTAAAACCAGGAAAGCATGCCTACAGGGGCATGAACAAACATCTACCGAGTCCCAGACTGTGATCAACAAATGCTTGGACCAAAACAACAAAGAACTCAACATGACCGTAGCTTTTGAACTCAAGTTGTTATTGAGTTTGACATGCCATGTTTTCTGCATGTTCCAGAAATCAGAAACAATGTGTTTTTGACCTGGCTTTGGCCTCAGGACTCAGGACCTCGCAAAGATCAATCAAAGAGGGCAAAAAATATCAGTCACATGATAAACATCAGAATCTATTCTGACGGCAATACTGTGTGATGTCATCAAAATACTTACTTTTTCCAAGCCACGCTTACAAGACTAACCCAACAACACCCCCCAATAAAAGGAAAACCCATGCAAGACGCATGTTTCCATTTGTCTGCATTTTGTGAATGCAAAGCACCATATTGGGAACGTACGGGAAAGTTGTCTTGCAATGTTATTCTATTATAGTCACATAATTGTAATTCTATTTAAATGCATTCTTCGGCAAGACAGGGGAAAATCACTCAGGAAAAATACACACAGAACTGAAAAAAACTCCTCAAATCAAGAACAAATCTAAACAAATACTCTTGAGGCCAAAGCCAGGTCAATATCACTTTGTTTCTGAAACATGCACAAAAAACTGGCATGTCAAACTCAATAACTTGAGTTCAAAAGCTACGGTCATGTTGAGTTCTTTGTTGTTTTTGTCCAAGCATTTGTTGATCACAGTCTGGGACTCGGTAGATGTTTGTTCATGCCCCTGTAGGCAGTGTGTTCTTGATTCAAACATATATGTATACATGACAAACAGGACATCCAAAATATAAGAACTATATTTGAGAACAGCACTTGCTTGCTGCCGTGAAGTGCCCTTGACATGTTTGTTGTGTTTTTTGATGGTATGTTATGACTTGCGTTGGTCCTTTTTAGTGATTATTATGTTTGTTTGTTTGAACCTGAATGAAACTGTTGGTTCATGATCTGTTGATGTCCAGTCATCTCAAAATTTAGAATGGGCCGAATCAAGGTTGACCTGCCTTTTCACCAATTGAACATTACATGATAGTGTAATATACAATATGCAACCTCTCAATGACGGTATCATATTACTCTTTACAATGATAAGTGAGTAATTCAAAATTGAAAACGAAACAAAACAAAACACTTAAGTTACTTAAGGAATCTTAAGGATATTTAAGGTGTCTTAAGGTAACCCATCGAATCTGCTATGTAGCCACGGGGCTGTCTTTCCAGTACTACTCGATTTTACTTGTGCAATACGTGCTTCTAGGATATCTGTTCAATAGTTCCATGTTGTTCAAAGCGTCTTGAAAGTCTCCAAACAACGCTTCATGTCCACAGAACTGTCCCCCTCTCGCAGGGAGAACGTGAAGCTGCCACTGATATACTGACTTTTGGGGGGAATCCCGTGAGGGGCAGCTTCAGCAGCTTCGTGACCCCGCGAGAAGAATCGCGGATCAGTTTTTCGTTTGGGTCAATTTGGTTGGTGTTCCACCGAAACATGAAGAGAATAGATAGCCTTGGGAGGGTCCACTTTACCAGTTGGAAACGGAGCTCCAGGTTTTGCCCCAGAACAAAGCGGAGGAATCTGACGGTGGCTCGAATCGGATTTGGCTGTGGGTCATGATGTCATGGCGCCAAACCTTGGTTGACCCTGGGAGGTCAAGCTACGTGGACTGGTCGAGCTTCGGGTTGTGACCCATCCCCAATTCTTGGGCTCCGGATCTGGGGCGGACTCTGAGTTTTGGACCAAGCACTGAGTCCAACTCATCCAAGAAGTCCTGAGGGCTGCGATCCGCTTTTGGCCGCGTGGCGTATCATGTGCAAAACGCAAAAATCATGTGCCACATTGACAAAACAACAGTTAGCGAGTAAAGATTGAAGATGACACCACCGAACCCTATAGCTCTTTAATTTGTGTCGAATGCTTCGCGATCAGCTAGGCCAAAGGCATTTCGTCCCTGGCGATTGGCGTCCGTGACCACAATGCGAGTCATGGGATATGAGAGCAATGCCTGAGCCGAAGCGGTTGGTGTGCCACATCCCGGTTGAGGTGTGGTGGGGGCCTTGGGCCTAGTGATTTCAACACTGTGCTTCGGGGACCTGGAAACTGTGAGCAGAAAGCTACTCAGATTCCTGAGTTGCCTGCTTTATTTGACCGGTTGATGTTTGGATTAGCCGGGAGACATTTGGTTAAAGGGTGTTGTTCGGATCGGATTCATAGGATCGGAATCTAATTGGTCAGATCGGATTCATAGGATCGGAATCTGATTGGTCAGATCGGAATCGCAGGAATGACGGGCGCGTGCTAGGCAACACCATCCCGACCATCCCGACCGTCATCCTCACTGATCTCACGCAGGTCTCATCCATCCCGACCATCCCGACCATCATCCTCACTGTTGTCACGCAGGTCTCATCCATCCCGACCGTCCCGACCGTCATCCTCACTGTTGTCACGCAGGTCATCCATCCCGACCATCCCGCCCAAGCGTCTTGTCGACGCTGATCCCTAACCAACGCTGATTCGGCGAAGTCGTATAAAAACTATTCTTACTGTCGTTCTAATTGGCTGTGCACGGACCGTCCCGATCATCCCGACCGTCCCGACCATCCCGACCAAGCGTCTTGTCGACGCTTATCCCTAACTAACGCTGATTCGGCGAAGTCGAATATATAAACTATTCCTACATATATTCCTACCGTCGTTATAGCTGGTTGTGCACCGACCGTCCCGACCATCCCGACCGTCCCGACCATCCCGACCGTCCCGCTAGAATCTGATCCTACGACGCTGATCCGGCCAATTAGAATCTGATCCCAAACGCTGATCCCTGACGCTGATCCGGCGAAGTCGAATCTGATCCGGTAATTACCCTTGGTTAAAGTATCCGACGAAGCACATGGCGTATGGACGTGCAACCTGTCCTTTTGACCCACTGAAGTCAGGGCCAGCCCAAACTCATATTAAGTCAGATTGCTGGATCTACTCAGTGAGCACAACTGCACCCTGCCAAACCCCATCCAAGTGCCCAAGCTAATGGGAGGGAAGAAGTGAGTCATCGATGCGAAGGGCACACTGCGACACTACAGAAATGATTTCGGTCTATCAGAGTTGCCCTTGTGCAAGCGCGAATTAAGTGTTTTTTCCATCACCGCCCATGGCCATCGGGCAAGTAGGACTTGCCCAGGGCTGCAATGGAACGGGCTTGTCGGTATCTCACAAAACGTTTGCTCTGTTCTTCACATGACTCTTGCTAGCAAGAAACCTCAGCTTCCTCGGCCTCTTGGGGCTGTGGTCCGTTGGATCACGACGTTGGATCATGACAGTCGACCCAAAGGTCGCTGAAGGGACGGAAAGCTGAATACAGCTGGACGTCCCCAGATGTCCCGGTGGTTCACTCAGAAGCGGTGGATGGGAAGGTGGAAGGATGTGGATGGGATTCGACGAAGCGAAACAAGGATAACAAGGGATCATCAAGGATCAAGAATCATCAGGATTCTGGGCATTTCTGGGCTTCCTGGTCACCAGTCTTCCCAGTCTTCACTAAAAGATCTACAGTAGCTGCTCAGTCTTCACCAGGACTTCCTCTCGCCCCTCGACCAAGGTCCCATGCTCGCCCAATGAGCAGGCCGATGGCACGAGCAACAGCAGACCTGGACGGGTCCAGCGATCTTGAGCATCGTAATCACCGGGGGTTCAGGTGGCGATAGGATGCGGATGCTTTTGGTGGGTATTTTATGGTATTTTTGGTAAGAACATTGAGTGATACATGGCATACCACTTGGCATACCCTTCATCCATCCAGTGTGACTTTCAATGCACTGCAATGGGATTCCACACCCGTGTGGTTGTACTTTGAGACTTTGAGACCTCAGGTGGCACACAGCCATCCTTTAAGAACATGCAATTCACCAACCAACGTCTGATATCTAGAACTCTTCTTGCTTCCTGTATCACCCATTGGTGAATTAAAACCAATGTGATATCGTGATCTTAGTGATCTTCAAGAAGAGGCACCAACATCAACCTCCTGTCCAACTACCCAACTCCATACGGTGCAAGCTACGGATGTCCAATTGGTTCTTGGTTCTCTGAGAACTTGCTTTTTCGAACTTGAATTGGGATCCTGTGAGTTCCACGTTTCCCGGCTGGCAAATTGGATCACAACTCAGCAGCGTTTCCCGGCGCTTGCACGTTTTAGAGTGGTTCTTTAATTACCCAATTAAATTATATACTGTAATTTGAATCCCAGCTCCCACTGTACATTAACCGATTAACCTTGGCCAGGTGCACCCCCAAACTGTTCCACTCCGCCGTACCAGTGGAAGGCTTGAATCAGTGTCACCTGATCTGATTCTCAGTTCCAAGAAGAGCGAATCAAATTCTGGAGCTAATCTTTGCATCAAAGATCGAAATCAGCTTTGCCAACGCCCGCATCGGAGTTTATCTTCTGTGACTGCTGACGGTCAAGAAGTTTTTACAGGCTTTTGTCAACCAACTCAGCAACGCCTTCATGTTTCCAAGCCACCCCCGCTCACGCTCAAACATGCAACGCACGTCCCTACCATCCCGCTCGCCGCAAGCATCGAGTTTGCTTGTACCATCTTGTACCTAAGAGCCGTCTGAGAATGCTCACTTTTCTGACCTCCCACAACCAAATCAGGCTTGCATCCAGGACGTGATAAGCCTATAGTGCGCCGCCCCAATCATCTCAACCAATCACCCCTAGACCCCCTCGCCGACTCTTCCGACGCCTCAAAACCTCAGGGCAAGATCAAATGCACAGCCCCATCCATTTCAGGTGCCCGGCGCCACGACTTCCCCGCATGGAGGTGCCTGCAACCTCCAGGCGCTCGCTTCGCCAGGTACGCACCATTCAAACCACCAGACGTTCTCCGTTCGATGTTCGAATACACTGGCTGACGCATGACCCAAATCTGCATGCCTCGGCCTCGACCCAATCTGCATGCCTCGAACTCTGAACTTCATTCCACTGGCTCTGTGCAACGGCTTTATGACACAAGCGGCCTCAGGCATCACTGCAGTTCAGCGAAATGTGCTAGATCACTCGATCCTGGTCAAAGTACCAACCATCCTAACCACCCAGCATCACTCACTCACCACAAGTACAGCCCGCCACCATCCCGGTCCTCCCAAGAATTCCGCGCACCAACATCCTGCTTGCTTGCTTCTAAGCGAGGTCCGATGTAAAGCGAGGTCTCAGCACCCTGATTGTTGAAGCGTGACGCCGATTCGGGCAGCTCGACGCCCATTCAGCACGCCATTGTTTCCAAACGTTGATTTGCTACACGCGACTGACTCGGCATGAACATGATGCACATTTAAGACGTGTGACCAAACGACTGCTGCGTCGTCTGAAGTAACGGTGGACCATCCGGTCTTCCGCTGCCGCGTGGCGCCGGCGGCCGCCACGCGCCGGGGGACCCGAGCTTGTAAAGGCAGTCGCTGCAAACGATCACATCGAAGCGTTGAACCTCGGCAGTCGCTGCGTGGACCTGAGGTCCCACACCGTGGTTCGGAGGAAGGGGGCGTTGAAACGATGGTTTGAGTTTTAGACCCTCAATGTTGGTGCCTTTGAGTGTTCCTTAAAAAGGACATACAAGGACTATGAGTCTCAAAGTAGTGATTTTACCTAGCCCATACTTCTCCCCAAGAAATGAGCTGGTTGTTCACACGTGCTTTGTGGTCTCAAGCGTGTTTTCAGAAGATTCAACAGGCTGTCTTGTCGAATTGGGGTCATGTTCCATTTATTGAAAAGGCACTGACGAAATGACATGTGCAATCCTGATTTGCCACACACTCTCGCGTTCTTGAGCTTTATTGACACCCCAGGGCTCTGACCGCTTTCTTCTTCTTGTTGCATCTTTAATTTCAGGGAGGCTTCCCTACCCCTACTATTCGATAACCCCGATAGGTGGGTGCATGTCTTTGACCCCTCTGCCGAGTGCAAACGTCGAAACCAAAAACCAGCGCCGCGAGGCATCGGAGGGGCAAGTGCTGGAAGATCTGACGAAGCGCCGCTGGTGCCGTCCGAAGCGAACCGTTCGGAAGCGGACGAACGGAACGCCTGGGAGTCTCCCGTTTAAACCCACATGGCTTTGGGTGGTGGGCTGGGGGCCCTAAATCACCCAGACTATGTGACCTTTTCTTTAGGGCCCTTGCATAGGGGTGTGATCATCATAGGGAGTATCCATTAACCACCCCTTCAGGGCCCTGGTTATTGGCTGTTGTTGAAAAATTGACTCGGAGAGTTTGTCACCAGGAAATTGGGTATGAGGACTGCAGCAAACCCCATCGTCGTGCTTTCGTCTCATTACAATGCCATTGTCTAGCAAGGAATTTCGTTTGAAAATGATCGAAGAGTCGTGTAGGCTATGGACATCTTCCAATTCCGCGACTGCGGGTTGCTATTTGAAACTTGATAGAGGTATCAGTTCTCGTGCTTCGAGGGGGCCTCAGTGTCAAACAATCTGAACAGGAGAAGGACGGCCCTTCTTTCGGACATCCTAATCGCACCAAAATGTCTACCGTTGTCTTTATGTCTCACTTGAAACAACATCAGCGCAACATCTTGGAAAAAAAATTGGAACTCAAAACATGGTTCTGTATATTTCTGCGTCTTCATGATTCGTTATGTGTGTTGTCAACGAGTTGTCCGCCCACGAACCAGCTGTGAGCAAGACAAGTTGAGGCGGGGAATGCTGGGATTCATTCACCTACTATTTGGATGCCTTTCTTGAGCATCCATGTGAAACTTCACATGATTTTACCGTAACCAACAGTCACTGGTCTAAATCTTTTGCCCCCCTTTGGTATATCGGTCAATCCATGCACCAACCTGAGGTTGACAGCTTATTCACAAAAAGCAAATAGCTAGTTTCCTTGGAGGCCATGATGCACTTCATCTACGTACAAAATGTTCAACATCCATACCCTACGCCCAAAGTGGATCGAAGTGGATCGATGAGACACGTCCAATGACCCTCTGGTGACCGAATGAGATCCAAATGAAACATATCCTCAAGCAACGAAACATTAACTTGTAACAGTTGAATTGAATTGAATTGATATGAATTGATCAATGATTCAATGATCTTCATGAAATCTTCTGGCTCAGAAGCTTCATCTGGGCCCGTGAACATGGACTAAGTATGACTAAGTAGCCCCTCATCCAACTGCTCTCCCTTCATGGCCCGTGGAAGCCTGGAAGTGCTGATCGCAGCGAGGACATCCAACTGGGCCAAGGAAGGTCCGAAACTTCGTTGACCGAACTGGGGAAGGTCAAGCTACATTGGTGTTGGGGCTCCAGGTTTTGACCCATCCGCAGTGTTGATGGGTGGGAAATTGATAGTCGAAGCGATTGGAGAGCAGAACATCTTACACAAACCTCTGACATCCTCTTCCCTGCGGCCTTTGACAATTCGCTGGCGACTCGTGTGTGCGTGAATGACGAATTGTCAATGACATGTTCTTGGCTTAAATACTCAAGAACGGTTTTGGATGTTTTGGCGGGAATGTTGCCCAACCCACACCAACCAATTGTCAAGGTACGCAAGCTGGCATGCTCAGATAGCAGGACGGTGGATAACTCACAAGAGGTTTCCACAACGTGCTCAAGCAAAGCACTAGGGTCTGCCGAATGGAATCTTGCAA